TCGTAATCAGGATAACTTATCGCCTAACTAATAATCGTTTTTTTTTTCTGATGCTGTGACAGAGAGGGCGATATAAAAATTGCAGGGGAGACAAAGACAGAACGATGTCAAAGTGATTATATTCTTTAAACATAAATTTATAATACATTAACAAATACCTCTGATTAACAAATACCTCTAACGAAAGATTATGTATATGTATTTTCTTCTTCTAAATACATAATCCTCAAATTAGTATTACGGTGCTGATCACTGAAAGTAATTTTTTCATATAAAGTATTTATTTTATTTGTATACTGCTATATTTGCATTTATTCTATTCCATAAGTAACACGATTAAAACCAAATGAACAAAAACAAATTATATTTAGGGTTTTTAGAGTCTTCAAAATATTATTCATTTCGCTTAATCTTCATTGTGAATTTCATCTAGAAAAATATACAATTTTACATAGATTTCATCTACATTTTATAAGAACGTGGTTTACATTTTACATTCTATTAAAACACGAATTAGAAATCTGTTAAAAGGATTTATGATAAGGTTAACACAATTTCTTTATTTGTTTTACTAAGTTAATAACAGCGTAATATATAATAATTAAACCATCTGAAATGGGCAAATGCTTTTATGGAAACTTTTGAAAGCAGCTCTTTAAACACTGGACATCTGTTGCTACGGAGTACAACAGAAATTCCTGAGAGGTCACCCGCGCGTAATAAATCTGGATTTACGTAAAGTTCTGCGATAGTAACTTTAGATGGAAACAGCAATGTAAATCCACAAACTAGTACAAGTGAATGGTGATTCTAAAAAATCCTTGAATTTACTCATCAAGATGCCACAGACAAAATTGTTTATTGCAATAAATTCTTTTTCACGCTATAATTATGAATGCAAGATATTGAAAACGTCTACTGAATTATATTAATTTAATATCAATCTTTATCGAAGATTATAAAGAAAGTTATCAAGTTATCAAGTTATTTGTTTAAATATCTTATTGCTAAAAATAATACTGCTCAGAATGGAGATGACTGGTTAAAAATACAAATAATCATTCATGTGGTAAAAAAATACGAAATTACTTTCGAAAAGTACCAATAATATTATTACTATAACATTCAGGAAGGGAATGAGAAAGTTACAGCGAGACTGGCAATAAATCATGTTAAGTTCCAGGTGAGTTCAAGAAGACTTACGGTACAACGTAAACTTGTTAGAACGAAATATATGAAGGTGTAAGGGACGAAAGCAGTTGTGGGGCTAGCGGAATAGCAGTGGACCGATAACCGCAAATGAGAATGGTACAGGAAACTACGCTGTTCCACGCTTCCCTGGTGACCGATGAGGCCAATTCTGCGAACCACATTTGCTTCATTTGAAGCTGTTGTTCTAAACTTTTCTGTTAATTGAAACGAAGAAATTGGAATACTCCTAGCGGTTATTTTAAGTTTCTGGCCAGTTTAAGCCGCGCAAAAACTATAGCTGCACCGTGGCGCGAGTATTCCGGGAAATCGAGGTATGTTAAATGTTTGAATGGACTTTGGGAAGCTTACTTGCTACGAATTGCATAAAGCGGATTGATAACTTCAGTCGAAAGCCACGGCAGTTTTTGCATCCAAAAGGAATACCTTTTGTGAAGGGCATTCTATGAATTGAACATTGAATTAAATAATTACAGAAAATGTTGTAGCTAGTACTTTACTGAAATAATTAGTGGTGACTCAGTTCTAATGTTACGTTATGACAGTAGATTCAAACAAGAATCATCAAGAAAAACTTTCGGATCTAAAATATTTTCAAAGTTACAGAAGCATTAGAGAAATTCTCTTCGATAAAAAAAGAATATTCTAAGAAACATTTAATTCTTGGATTCCTAATGCGATTTCCTCTCTCAAAACTTGTACAAGCATACGTAGTAAAAAAAATTTCGTTATCAACGAGGTCTGTCCTTTCAGAATTGTGTGCAAATAGTACATACAGTGGGTGTAGAAAGTATTCGTACACCGATCAATTTCTAAAAAAACTATGTAAAATTGTAATTTATTAACTTATTTTTTATAAACAATGACATTCTACATAATCTCGGAAATCTCTAGAACAGATAGATTACAAAAAGAAATAGCTATTTATGTAAGTGGCGAAATTAACAGGAAAAAAACAATTAATCGATAGAAATATTGAAGCAACAAGTATTCGAACAACTGTTTAATTTTGAAAATTTCATTAAAAAAAGAGAAATTTACATTAATTTATAAGCATATAATACTTCCTTCGTAGGCTATCCTTTTGATTTTGTAATTATTACAACTCTTTTAAGCATTGAATTAACTAAATTCTTAGTTATTCGAAATGGGATCTTTTTCCATTCCTCTATTAGAGCCATTTTTAAAAGTACTTTACTGGAAATTTGATGTTTTCTAATTCGTACGGAGCAATAAACTAATGTGTTTACGTTACAAAATCTACTGTAAATGGTTCGTCATAAGAATCGTACAAATACTTATTGCTTCTATACTTTTACCCACTTTTCCCATTTTTTTGTTTATTTCGCAAATTATATTGACTAGTAAATGTTGTTTGGACTATATCTATCGTAGAGACTTCCAAGAATATATAAAATATCATTGATTATAAAAAAAAAAGTTAAGAAACTACAATTTCACACAAAAGTTTTTTGGGAAATTGATCGGTGTACGAATACTTTCTACACCCACTATATGTAAGTAGTATGATGAGATTCAATCTATCGAGACGAACACCGCATGACCGTGACTTGCCCCAATAAATGTGTCTGTCCTATGGAAGGGTAGCCACTGGTCAACACTTAGATTAACAAACACAGCTTGACCACACCTTGCCGCAATAAATGCGCTGGTCTCTTGGACGGATAGGCACTGGTCAACAATTAGATTAACGAAACACAGCACAGCTGACCAGCCTTGCCACAATATATGCACAGGCACTGGTCAATATTTAATTCAACATTTAATTTGACAAGAATTTATAATCCAAAACGCCTGTTATTCGTAGCACTTCGATTTTCGGTTTTCACGCCAACGATTTATAATGGAAACAGAGTACTGGGTTTAAATTTATTCATGCGAAAACGAAGAGCTTTCACAAAGTATTTAATACAGGAATATTTTGAAAGATATTATACAATTTAGCTTTTAATTTCCTTTTCGGTAGAATGTAATATAATAATAATAATAATAGTAATTTGGTTACGTATCGCTAAACAGTCCCATCGAATTTCATTTGTAATTTATCCCGATAAACTGTTTTTGGTGGTCCCGGAAAAGCACACGTTCTCATCGTGCACCGATATCGATGCACTATGACGCGGTCATGAAAACCGACGGTGCACCAACGCATACGCATGCGAGCACGAGCACATACTGTGTTTGTGCCACTAGCATTCAGTCAGTACGTATCGGGGTAGTCGTGTTTCTTCGTAAATTTAACGATTTTACTGGCAGACGTGGGCACGTCCCGAAATGATGTACGGTTCGCTCGTATGACTCGGTAGCTAATGCTTTAATATGCGCAAAGGGTGCCATGCCCGTGTCACACGGATTACCGCTAATTGTAGTTTATGCTTTATACTACGCTATTCTCTTGTACGCTCTGTCGTCCGTTGGGTATTCGATATGTACAGACCTGTATGTTTACTTATACAGCCGAATACACGTCCCACTGGGTACATATCCACATAACAATTTGTATTTGCCAGGGCCTGTGGATTATATACGTCTACGGTATGTACAAGTTACTCACATCTAAGTACAAACGTTATCATTTCTGAGAGTAACGAAGACGCGGGGGAGCGTCACCAAGGGAATTACTGAATGGAGCAGTGATGCTCGATCCTTTCGAGGGGAATGTAAGTAAAATAATACTAGTTTTCGTTTTTTCTTTCAAGTATTTTTATAATATTAGTTTGCTATTTACGAAAAATCCGATCCTACATGTATATGTCCAATACCGCGAATGGAGTCGATTTTCGAACGTATTGTTGTAGGATCCTAGGAAAAAGAGTACGATGTGGGATTTAAGCTGGAGATCTTCGGAAGTTGGGATTTGCTGGCTGACCACTTTACAACTGCGCCATCACCGACCCTCCAATATCTTGGTCTTCCAGACTTCTTTCTTCTCTCTTGGTGCCTCGATCCAATATTATAAAGAGCAATAAATGAGAACGATTTTCCTTTGCTCTTTAGATGCTTTTAAAAGCAGAAATTTTATTTCATCTAACTCAATGTTTTAGATACCGATCAGAAAACGTAACAATATTTCTAGTATTAATAAAACGTCACAAACTTCTAATTCAGTAATAATGAAAACCAAAGGGATTTTTAAATATTCATATTTAAATATTAATTTTAAATGAAACTATTAAATGAAAAAATCACAAATCTTAATTAATTTGATTAAAATCGTCAAATCCGTTGAATTCTGCATCGTCTTCAGTAATTGGTAATGCCTCCTAAAACTCATAGCAACCTCCATCTTTTAAGGAGCAAAATTAACAATTAATCTTGTTCTTTGAGAGCCTTGACGAGTATTTTTCTTATATAAAAGTTAGCTATAATACTTGTTATTCTGCATCGTCTTCAGTAATTGGTAATGCCTCCTAAAACTCATAGCAACCTCCATCTTTTAAGGAGCAAAATTAACAATTAATCTTGTTCTTTGAGAGCTTTGTCGAGTATTTTTCTTGTATAAAAGTTAGCTATAATACTTGTACTTTCAACCTTTGATCTTTCTCTCTTTCTCCTTCTTACAACAAGGGTTTGAAATAGAGCCTTGTCATCAAGAGTATTTAAATTCAGTAACATCAAAGAGATTGTAGATGAAAGTAATTATCTCTACATATGTATAATAAAAATTGGGTATTTTTATGCGTTGCAAGAAGACGTACTTGATGTACCAATAATATTATTTTTGCTATCTTCTGTATCTATATTTATACTAATTTCGACATCGCGTGAATGTAACCCTTGCTATGAAATAACTGCTAATTGCCTGTTGAAAGAGATCTCAATTGTCGTGGTTCGTAAAAGGAAAACCATAAATTATGCTCAGCATTCTCCAGAATTATATTCTTGATAACGTCAGACAAAACTTATGCTTCGGTTGTATCGTTAATCTTCTAGCCACAGTACTTATTCGTGTTGGGCGCATAATCTACTCCTAATCTACAATATTCTCAATGTCCGAATGAGCTTGTTGCATCTATTACAGATCCGTATCAAAAGGCAATATTTTATCGTATATTCACAGTCGTTGCGTATCTTGATGACCAAAGTTCACGAAGATACGTGAACAGAAAGAATAAAATCATGAAGCTAATTAGAGAAATAATTTATTTTTTGCTCACGTGTACTGTTTCATTTTGTACTTTTCTCGGAAAAACGGTGGAGGTAAATTAAAATATTTTGGAAGTATACATATACAAATCATGTATGTACACTCAGATCTGGGCACTTTTGAAAAAATATTATTCGAAATATTATTTCAAGTTACGTATTATTTTTGCTTTATAATTACTTGAAATAACTGTGATATTTAAAAATGATTTCAGGTGAAATAATTACCCAAATTCAACAAGAAATAAAAATAAATATAATAAGTAATTAAATTTCTCGTTTATTTTATTTGAAATGACGTTTGATAAAACGAGATTACAGTATTATTCGAGCAAGACTCTTTCACAGGGAGGGAATTAACTTAACAAAATACATTTTCTATAATATATTTTACATTATAAACCAACCATACATCATCATAATAATATCTTATATTCTTAAGCCTAAGCGTGTTTTAACCTATATTCTCGTTTATATACTTCCTTCGTATTTATACTTTGTTTATTTCTTCATATTATTTATATTTATATATATATATTTTTGTTTTTATTTATATTCATCATTATTTATAATATATTTTATATGCTATGTTATGTATATATATAATATCATACATATTTATTTTTCACGCACATCCCAGGGTGTCTCGCGTTTCCATTTTTTTTTTTTATATCGTGTGAGAATTGTCTTTTGGAGGTATCTGTCTCCTTTTTCCCCATTTTCTTCCCTATGTGCACGTGCACGTGTGCCACTATATCTAGGAAAATGTTGCTTGTGTGATCCGTGTACAAAGTGTACGTGTACGTGTTCCGCCTTCTCATACTTTGTGTGTGTGTGTGTGTGTGTGTGTGTGTGTGTGTGTGTGTGTGTGT